GGAGTGGACTTGGGGGGAGGGATTGTATAACAATGAAAGGATTTTTCTTTTACTTTTCAAGGAGGGGAGCAAATTGGGCCAAGGAGGTGGACAAAGAGAAAAGTGCAACCATGAATGAATGGAAACTCTAAGTTTCTGTAAACTTTCATTAAAATTAATAAAAAGGGGGGGGAAAGACATTAAAGAAATGAGAAGAAGAAAAAAAATTATCATCCAAAGCACAAAAATTCCTCAGAGAAATAAATCTATTTATTTTCCAAGCCTGAGTAAGTTGCAAGAGCTTTAAATATTCTGCCTGCTTTCCCTGATATTTATTTACAAGTTTTGACTCCAGATAATCCTTTGAAGACAGAAGTAAATGGAAGTAACCTCTCATCATGTCTCCACCTGTTAATACATAAAAGGAAGCCGAGGACGAGTCATGATACTTACATTTCTGGTCTGGGAGGGGAGCCAGATTGTTCCGTGTGAGAGGAAGATCCCTGATTTTGGGTCTGTTTGGAAAGAGGTGTTGAAAATTTTGCCCTAGAAATAAGTATATTTGTATTGGTTATTTTTCTCACTTCTGTGCAAATTATAATGCTCAACAGAAAATAGTATCATGAACTTTGATAGAGAACACTAAACATAAGATGCAGATAACGATTATTACCACATATATATTGTCCCATTCTCGCTCAACTGGTAGAAAACCTGTATTGTGTTTTTGATGTTGTAAAACTTTATAGGAGAAGACTGCCCATCTTCCTCATTCAGAACAACTGGTGGATTCAAATTGCTGACCTTTTGGTTAAAAATCCAACATATTACCTATAATGCCACCAGAACTCCCACAAACATAATAACAACAACGATTTATTGGATATCTATTATATGCCGGCCAATTGCTCTATGGGAGAAAGATGGGCAATCCTTTCCCATGTGATTTGCCCCTGATAACATTCTAGAGTGTCAATTATGAATTGATTCTGACTCAACAGCACATAAACAATTCTGTGCCAATCATTGCTCTTTGTGTGAAGAAAAGACAATGGAAATATTTCTTATATAAGTGTAAGTTCCTATACAATTTTATGAACAAGCAATTCTAGTCTAAATTTATAAAATTTAAAGTAGAAAAAGATAATAACAGGGATGAGGCATAACTTCCAAGATCTCTGTCAGTTCTTTGGAATGGATTGGTGAGATGTTATCTTTGCAAGTATTATTTCTTAATCCTGGCATAAGAATGCCTATTTGGTTTTATTGACTATGCAAAAGCATTTCACTGTGTGTATCATAACAAACTATGGTAAACACTGAGCAGAATGGGAATCCCAGAACACTTCCTTATGCTTATACAAAACCTAGACCTACACCATGAAGCTGTTGTCTGAACAGAGCAAGGGAATACTGCATGGTTAAAAATCAGGAAAGGCATGCATCCAGGTTGTATCCTTTCTTTTGAAAACATATACTGAACAAATCATTGAAGAAGATGGACTCTATGAAGACTCATCAACAGTCTGTGCTGGGTAGATGATACAATATTGCATGTTGAAACTGAGGAGGACTTGAAGTGCTTGGGGCAGAAGATTAAAGACTACAGTCTTCCATCTGGATTGCATCTCAACATTAAGAAGACAAAAATCCCCACCACTAGAGCATGAGCAGCATCATGCTAGATGGAGAAAAGACTGAAACTGTAAACAATTTCATCTTACTTGAATCCACAGTCAAAACCCACAGTACCAGCAGCCAGATTAGGAGATGTATTGCAATGGGCAAGTCTGCTATCAGGGACCTTCCATATTACTGAGGAATGACCAAGGAGGAACAAAGACTACATAAGACTATGATCATAAAAATAGAAGGATAATTAGTAAGATGTGTATAAATATAAAAAAGGGGAAGGTAAAAGGGGTATACTGGGAATCATTAGGACAGAAGAGTTTAGTGGGCAGATTGGGGCTAGGGAGTAGTTGGAGGAATGGAAAAGATTCAATGGAGACTTGAAAAGCCTAAGTAATAACAGGTGTAGATCAATGGTAATTAATTGTATAAAATACAATGTATATGAATGACTTTATGAAATACAATTGTTGTAGGATGTTGGGGAAGAAGGGAGGGCATCTGGATAGGACAGATAGCCTAAGCTCCAGATGAGTGCAAGCCTCCCAACAGCCTTTAGTATGGGATGGAGAAAGCTCCCCTGTGTTTGACTGTATAAGCTTGAGAAATCTCACCACCTGGGAAGATGGGTGCTGCATGGTCCGCAGGAGGCTGAGGTTCTCCTAACCAATCCACATGTCCCACATATGAAAGCCCACCCTATCCTGTCTTCCTGTTTACATGCTTGTATATAAGTGCACTGCAGATCCCAATAAAATTGAGCTGGATTGACTCTCTGATCCTCTCCAGGAGCAATTTATCTCTGTTGTGCTTACCCCGATCAGAGTGTCGCTGTCAAGTTGCTGCAAACTGACAACGACACACAACGTAAATGAAAGATTGTATAAAAAACAATGTATATGTATGAAACACAATATAAAATTAATTACTGTAAAAAATCCAGAGAGGGGAAAAACAACAAATTACTCAGGAATCTCAAAATCCTTGCTTCTAAGAAGAAGCTTTGTCTTTTGATTTCTTCATTGCTGGCACCAAGAATGTTGATTGTGGAACCAAATAGGGTGAAATTTTTAGCACTCTCAATTTCTTCTCCATCTATCATAATGCTGCTAATTGGCCCAGTGGTGGGAATCTTCATTTTCTTGATGTTGAGCTTCACTACACATTACAGACTACAGTCCTTGACCCTCTGCAGCAAATGCTTCAGGCCCTCCTTAGTTTCAGCAAGATAAGCCGTGTCATCTGCGTAACACTGGTTGTTGATTAGTCTTCTTTCAATCCTGATGCCACATCCCCCCCATAAAGTCCAGCTTCTTGAATGGTCTGTTCTGTATATAGATTGAAAAGGTATGGAGACAGAACACATCACTGACTCCTTTTCTGATTTTGAACCTTGCTCTGTTCTGAGGACTGTTTTCTGGTCCAAGTGTAGGTTTTGCATGAGCACAATCAGGTGTTTTGAGATTCTCATTTTTCTCTAGGTTAGTCATAATTTGTTGTGATCCATGCAGTCAAATGCCTTTGAATAGTCAATGAAACACAGACATTCCTCTCTGCTTTTGGCCAAGATCCATTTGACATTGACAATGATGTCCCTAGTGCCATGAACTCTTCTAGACTTAAGTTTATATTTCTAAGTTGTTTCTCTGTCGATGTAATACTGTTCCAATAACTTTTGGATAACTTTTAACATGAATCATTCATGCACATTGGGTTTTATATAATCATTCACACACAGTGTATTTTGTATAATTAATTGCTACTACCAGCAAGTACAAGAGAATACCAGAAGAATTTCTATCTATGTGTCATTGACTTTGCAAAGGCATTTGACTGTGTGGATCACAATAAATTGTGGCTAACCTAGAGAAAAATGAGAATCCCAAAACACCTGATTGTGCTCATGCAAAACCTTCACTTGGACCAGAAAACAGTCCTCAGAACAGAGCAAGGTTCAAAATCAGAAAAGGAGTCAGTGATGTGTTCTGTCTCCATACCTTTTCAATCTATATCCAGAAAATAGGAATCTCAGAGCACTTGATCATGCTTATATGAAACCTATTCTTGGACCAAGAAGCAGTCCTCAGAACAGAGCAAGGAACCATTGCATGTTTTAAAATCAAGAAAAGACTGAATCAGGGACACATCCTGTCCCTGTACCTTTTCAATCTGTATGTAGAACAGATCATTCAGGAAGCAGGGCTTTATGAGGAGGAGTGTGACATCAAGATTGGAGGGAGACTCATTAACATCTTAAGATATGCAGATGACACAACCTTGCTTGCTGAAACTGAAGAAGACCTGAAGACTTGCTACAAAAGGTCAAGGACTCTGGTCTTCAATATAGACTGAAGCTCAACATCAAGAAAGCAAAGATTCTCACCACTGGGCCAATTGGCAACACCATATTTGATGGAGAAGAGATTGAGATTGTTAGTAATTACAGCTTGCTCAGAGCCACACTCAACATTCTTAATACCAGCAGTCAGGAAGTCAAAAGACAAATTGCATTAGAAAAATCTGCTGTCATGGACCTCTCCAGACTGCTGAAAAGCAACAATGTCAGTCTAGATACAAAGGTGTGCCTAATCCACGCTATGGTTTTCTCAGTTACTTGTTATGTTTCAGAAAATTGGACAATAACTAAGGATGACAGAAGAAGAATAGATACTTTTGAGTTGTGGTGCTGGAAAAGAGTCTTGAACATACCATGGGCTGCCAAGAAAACAAATAGGTCTGTCTTGGAGAGGGTGAAACCAAGTCTTTCCGTGGAGGCTAGGATTTTGAAGATCCACCTCACTTACTTTGGACACATGGACAGGAGAGATCGGTCCTCGGAAAAGGACATCATGCTTGGAAGGGTAGATGGACAGTACAGGAGAGGGAGACTCCGGATGAGATGGATTGATATAGTAATTGGGCAATGGGGGTTGGTGTGTCAGAATTAGTGATACTGGCTCAGGACAGGGAAGAGTTCAGAGCTGCTATACATAGTGTCGCTATGTATCACAGGTGGCTCAACCAATAACATTCTATGACAGGTTTGGAAACAGGAGTGGCATCCACTTCCTAAACAACTTGCCTCGGAAACTCTATGAACTTTAATAAATGTTTATAGTTTTAGGGCGGGCTCCAGGCCTTTTGTTCACAGGGTTGCTATGTCATGCTTGACTTGAAGGCAGTCAACAACAACAACCAAGCCAAAGGTGGGTGATTTTAATCTGCGGCCCTTAAACCTGGTTTTAATTGTTTTAGTTCAAATATTCTTCTAAGTGGTATAGCACTGGTCTGTCCATTGGCTGTATAGAGGTAAATTGTGGTTGCTGTGAAGCTGAACACTGTGTCACTGATGTGTCAAATGCAATTATGGTTACCCATGGTGGTGTTTGGTGGAGCACCCCAATTAAAGCAAGCTTGGAAGGAGGAGTGGAATACACTTCTGAAATAGCTTGTCTCAAGAAACTCTATTGATGTGGAGAAATGATGAAAGTTATAGAAGTGTCCAGGTCTTTCATTCATAGGGTTGCTATGAGTCATCTACAGTCCAATGGCATCTAAAAACAATAACATCAATGCCTTTTAGGGAGTTCTGATGGTTTAATTTAGTGGTAAGAAACCACACACACTGTAACCCCAAGGGCACACAGTTTGAATCCATCAGCTACTCCATGAAAGAAGGAAGGGCAATCTCTTCCTGTGCAGTTTACTGCCTTTGAAAACCTATGGAGGATCAGCTCAGAATTGGTTCTGACTTGCTGATACATGATCAACAACAATAGTAATGCCTTTTATGATCTCATCTCATCAAGTCCCCATTGCCCTTTGTCTATTTCTTCACATCCTGTCTGTCCACCAATCTGTGTCCTAGTGGTTTTCTGCCTTCCCCTCCTCTCTTGAGCAGTTATATATATCCT